ATAAAATTTTCATCTGTTTTTACTTTTTACTTTTTTTGGTACTGGGGAGTAAACCCAAGGGCACTTAACCACTAAGCCACATCCCCAGCCTTGTTTTGTATTTTATTTAGAGACAAGGTCTCACTGAGTTGCTTAGCACCTCGCTTTTGCTGAGGCTGGCTTTGTACTCAAGATCTTCCTGCCTCAGCCTCCCAAACTGCTGGGATTACACTGTGACTGGCTGTTTTTACAGAAAACTTTCAATAATGTGGCTTATGTTATATTTATATTGGATGGTGGTATTCTAGACCGAGATCTAGAAGACAGAGATTTTTAAAATATCAATCTTCTGTACCTATCTGGGGAATTGCACACTTTATAACAGATAACAGTCAATTCTTTTGCTGAGAAAGTCAATACCTGATATTTGCTTTAGAATATGTGAAGTGTTCCTGCATGTCATTTGATCCTCCGACTCTCCCAGGAATATAGGCAGGAAGTGGTATTGTTTCCATTTTAAAGATGAAGATACTGAGGTTCAGGAATGGGAAGGGACTCATCTAGGGCTACAGAATCAGATAATGGGTGCCTGGACCTTAGGCACTGGACCCTAAGTCTCTATGTCCTTTCTATCTTAAGCCCTCCATCTTTACTCAGCTCTCCCACCATCCCAAATTTGTCATGTTCAAGCAGCAAGCATTGTTTCAGGCTACCTAAGCGTCTAGGAGCTGATCAGAAAGACCTAAAAGTAAAAGCATTTCAAGGCCACCAAATGGCAGGTTGACATTTAGCAGCTCTGTTTTCCTTGAGTGATGTTGTAGTCTCATCCCTGAGATGCCATTGTCATGGGTCAGGGCTGGGGCTTGCCACTGGGACTTTCAAAACTCCTTGATTCTAATGGGCAACTGGGGCTGGGAACCATTACTCCAAACCAACAGTCTCAAACAAGCAGCATGTGACCCAAATCTGTATCACAGAAGTGTTCTGTTTGGTTCCCACCCATAATGAATGTGTTTAAGTTTGATTTGGTTGTAGACATTTAAAAACATGGAATTTTCATATAAAACCCCATGTTTTTGGCTCCTTCTAAGGATTAATAGTTGTGTCTGCCCAGTGGCCAGTGGCTGGAGCTGAGCAGTGGCTGGCCTTTTGTATAGGCAGAAGTCTTCCAGTTTCTCACACTCTACAACCAATCCTTTTGGCTCATCAGCCCCTTTCATTTATTTTCATTATATATAACCCTTGTAGGGCTGCCCCAAGTCATTAATTTCTCTTGAAGGCTGGGAAACTGAGGCCTGTAGACAAGTAAATGGGAGCTGTGGACCTCCTTAGCTGCTGATTGAGCTAAGCAGACTTCTCTTTTCTTTTTCAGCCAGAGAATATACTGTGTGTAAATCAGACAGGACACCAAATTAAGATCATTGACTTTGGGCTGGCCAGAAGGTAAGGGGATGATTTTATTTTGATACTTTGACAAAACTCCTCAAAATGTCAGATACTGGGCTGGGATTGTGGCTTAGCCGTAGTGCACTTGCCTAGAATGTGGGAGGTGCTGGGTTCGATCCTCGGCATCATATAAAAATAAAAAAATTAAAAAATAAGGGTATTGTGTCCGACTACAATGAAAAAAGAATGTCAGATACCATTTACCACATGGGTATTTACAGTGACACACTGTGAACTGAGAGTAAGAAGCAACCACCTCTAGAGTCAGGGAAGGCTTCTCTGAATAGCCAGAAGGGATGGATGGATAGGATTTGTTAACAGTGAGCAATGGTGTGCTGGCAAATGTTTCACCACGAGCTGAAGAGGTGGAAAGTGAGAGGATGTAAGGTTGATTTGTAATGTTTACCAATTTTTGCTAATTTCAAGCAACCAATATAACATCACTGAATAGTTGGGAGGAGGTGCACATAATAGACTTTGGTGCAGCTTCGAGAGTTGGTGGAGGCAGGGGAGACAATGTGAGTTATGGGACCAGAAAAGTGTATATGCTGTGTATGAGCAGGCTGGTCTGAGAGAGATATGGTAGAAAATGAGGGTGCTAAACGAGGAGTCATGAATGTTAGGTTCACAAATTTACATGTTATCCTATAGGCCATTGAGTTGAACCTGGTAGGGAAGTGAAAAGGGCTGAAGGTCAACTTACCAAAAATTAGTCAAAAGCTCTGTCGGGAGAGCATGCAGGTTCAGAAAGCATGTTCTATACTTCGGAATAACAAAATGTTTGTAAAGACAATACGAACTATAAGAAAGCTGTTGTACTTTTGGATGGGGATTTGAAAGATGCTTAGATTTACAGTCCCTGGCAGAGTAGAGGTATACAGAAATCTTCAGAGGCCCCAGCATTCAGAAAGAGGAAACCAGGGTAACCCAAGCTGGACAATGAAGCCATCAGTGGATCTAAGTAGTGACTTGTTAAGGGTAAAGGATGAGAACAGGATGGGAGATATCTTGTTTAAGCTGGATCTCCAGCATGTTGGAAGTCTCCCAGCTCCCAGACCAGGGTTCAAATTGGAATTAGAACACAAAATCATTTTTATCAGGTCCTGAGCAGGGCAAGGGGGTGTTTACTCCAAGTGCTATGAGACTTCCTATATCAGACTATGGTCATAGAGGAATCTGGAGGGAGGGTTTTGTTGGATATTTTGACACAGTTTTGGGGTGAATGCATAGATTAACTCTTGTCACAATACTGCTGTATTACAAACCACCCCAAAACCCTGTGAACTGAGAGTAAGAAGCAACCACCTCTGGAGTCAGGGAAGTCTTCTCTGAATAGCCAGAGAACAATGATGTATTCTTAAGACAACAATGATGTATTCTTTTTTTAAATTTGTTTTAATTAGTTATATACATGACAGTAGAATGCACTTATATACTTTGATGTATCATACATAGATAGGATATAATTTCTCATTTTTCTGAGTATACATATTATAGAATCACATTGGTCATATAGTCACATACATATATACAATAATAATGTCTGTTTCATTCTACTATTTTTCTTATTCTCCACATCCCCTGATGATGTATTCTCATATACACATTTGTGAGTTACCTCAGGTAATGGTATACTAAACCTAACTCAGTTGAAACCTATTGTACTAGTTGGAATTTTGTAATTCAGCTGTTAAACACAGCTATTATTAAAACTAAAACTATAACTTTCTTTATAATTAAAGAAATTACATTAAAAACTAAGATACCATGTACTAAAAACATCCTAATTGTTTTACTACAGTCTATGCTCCTGAGGTTATTTATGTCTCTTATAGCAGTATGGTAGAAATACTCCAGAATGGTGAGCAATTAAGCAGCTCTTCCCAAGTCTTCAATTATTGACTTTATCATAGTACCTTGAAATCAGCCATGGGAAATTAGTATTTACACCCCAATAATTGGCAAATGCTACAAATCAGGGCTTTTGTGTGTGTGTGTGTGTGTGTATAAACTAATAGCTAATTGTTAAACATTTATCTCCACACCACTGGCTGAGAGTCAGTTGATCTAGGCTGAGCTTAGATCCAAGATGTGATCAGTGAGGTCGCATCAGCTCCATGTGTATTTCATTCACTTCTCATGTTAATAATGGTAGAGGAGCAAGAGGACAAGCTCTCACGGCCTAGATAAGAATTGGTCCAATGTCACTTCCACCCATATTCTGTTGGGTGGAACTCATATGGCCAACCCCAACATTAAGGGGAGGAGTCAATGAATATATTATACTTTTAGTGAAAGGGACACAATGAGGCATTGGGAATGATAATGCCATCTGGGAAGGTGAGTTCTAGGGGTTGAGAGAATAGGCCTTCTCTTCTTGAGAGGAAGGCTGGTCCTCTCATTTTTCTAGTTGCTAGCACAGGGGAAGATTGGATTGCCAGAGGAGGGTTTACATGCTCTCTCAGCTTCTTGGTGGAAATCCCATCAACCCCCTTGTTGTTCTTTCCCTGGATGAATGAAGGTTGTATTGGCCCTAGGTCTGTATTTACCTGGATCCCAGTAAATTGGAAGAGAAGATTCTTTAGAAAGTGGTTTGAAGGAAACAGGGTATTTTGGCAGAATAATTATTTGATTCATTTTATTCTTAATTGACTCATCTATAAGATGAAGACAATAACCTTACCTTACCTATTTCATAGGGCTATTGTGAAATGAAAGGTAAAATATTGGTATGTAAAAATTTTAGCACAGTACATGACAGAAAGTACCCACTAAATTTTAACTAGAGATTTTCTTTTCCTCTTAGAATGATTCTAAAAAGCACAGTTTGCCACCCTCTTCCACTCAGCCATCAACTCTCTTTCGAGCTTTGCTTTAACTTCTTGCCCATAACATCTTCTAATTCTTTGTTTTGGGAATCATGATTTTAAAAACTCACATAATATAAAATTTACCACCCAATGTCCATAATTGGATGAGTGAATAAAGGAAATGTAGAATATATATGAAATAAAATACTATTTCACCTTAAAAAAAGGAAGTATTATTTGAAAATATATGAACCTGGAGGACATTATATTAAGTAAAATAAGTCAGGCATAGAAAAACAAATATAGCATAAGCTCACTAATATGTGGACTCTAAAAAGGATGATATTATAGAAGCAGAATAGAATGGTGGTTACTAGGGGGAGAGTTAGTGGCATTGGGGAGATATTGGATAAAGAATACAAAATTTCAGCTGGGCATGGAGGCTTATGCCTATAATCCCAGCAGCTCAGGAGACTAAAGACAGGAGGATTGTGAGTTTAAAGCCAGCCTCAGCAAAAGCAAGCAACTCTGTGAGATCTGTCTCTAAATAAAAGTACAAAATAGGGCTGGGGATGTGGCTCAATGGTTGAGTGCAGGAGTTCAATCCCCCGTACAGGGGGAAAAAAAAGATAACAAAATTTGGGAGAAGAAAAATAAGCTAAAGAGATTCATAGAACAACATGGTGACTAGAATTAATAACATATGTTGTGTATTTGAAATTGCTAAGAAAATAGATTCTAAGTGTTCTCACCACATAAAAATAAGTGAGGTACATGTTAATTAGCTTGATTTAGCTATTTCAAAAGCTATACATACACCAAAACCACCATGCTATATATCATAAGTAAATATACAATTTTTGCCATTTAGGATAAGATAATTGAAAAAATTACCATCTTAATTTTAAGTGTATAGTAGTACAACTGTAGTAGTGCATTATTGTGCATTCAGCCTCTAGAACTCTCTCATCTTTTAAAACTGAAACTCTATATCCATTCCCATTTTTCCCCTGCCTCCAACCCTTGGTAACCACTATTTTATTTTTTGTTCCTATAAATTTGACTGCTCTAGTTACCTCCCATCAGTGGAATCACATGGTATTTATGACTAGTTTATTTCACTTAGCATGTCTTTACATTCATCCATGTTGAAGCCTGTATCAGAAATTTCTTTTTTTTTTTTTTGAAAGAGAGAATTTTTTTTTAATATTTATTTTTCAGTTTTCGGTGGACACACATCTTTATTTTATTTTTATGGGTGCTGAGGATCAAACCCAGTGCCCCGTGCATGCCAGGCGAGCGCATTACTGCTTGAGCCACATCCCCAGCCCAGAATTTTCTTCCTTTTTAAGGCAGAATAATATTCTGTTTTCTTTATTCAGTCATCTGCCAATGATCACTTGGGTGGCTTCTACCTTTTTGCTATTGTAAGTAATGCTACTATGAACATGGGTATATACATACTTTTGGAAACCCTACTTTCAATTATTGCAGATCTACTTACCCAGAAGTGGAATTGCTACATCACATGGTAATTCTATTTTTTAACTTTTTGGGTAACTCCCTTCCTATTTTCCATAGGGCTGCCCTGTTTTACATTCCCAACATAAATTTTCTAGTACTTCTACAATCTAGTTGAAATTCCCTTCCTTCCTTTCTACCTTCTATGAGGTATACATACTTATGGGGGTTCAGTAAAGTGGTATCACTTTGTTGTTTTGATTTACATTCCCTAATGATAAGTAACAAAATCTTTTCTTCTTCTCCTTTTTTTTTTTTGGTACTAGAGATTGAACGCAGGGGCACTTAACCACTGAGGCATATCCCCCTCCCTTTTTATATTTTGAGACAAGGAAGGTCTAAGATGGTGAAGCTGACTTTGAACTTGGAATCCTCCTGCCTCAGCTTTCTGAGCTGTTGGGATTACAGGCGTGCACCACCATGCCTAGCTTCTTTCTTTTTCTAATTCTTACCATCATCCCTCAAGTCACTTTGTGCACATTGACAGAGCAGTCCCTTCCCAACATCTTCTACCCCATTTGTACTCACTCGTATAGCTGAATAGCCCAATAAGATGTATTGATATTCTCTCCTTTTTTGGCTGTAAATGCCTAGAAAAGGATGTGGTTTTCTGTAAGCCACATGTATGGTGTGTGAGGTCCAGGCAATATGCTGGACAGAGGGTCAAACAATGTTTCCTCCCACCAGGAATTAGTCCCAGTATTCACATCTTCTTCCACGTTTCTCTTCATTCTCAGGTACAAGCCTCGGGAAAAGCTGAAGGTGAATTTTGGTACTCCTGAGTTCCTGGCCCCAGAAGTTGTCAACTATGAGTTTGTTTCATTCCCCACGGACATGTGGAGTGTGGGAGTCATCACCTACATGCTGTGAGTGCTTAGGGGCTCTGAGGTGGGGCTGGAGACCACTTGTTTTACTCTGGGTATCCTTTGGAGCAGCAAAAACTTGAACACAAGTAGTTTATTTGGGAAGTGTTCCTAGGAAACACAAATACAAGAGTAGGGTAGAGAGATGGGAAGATAGCCAGTTAAGAGAGTGAATCAAGCCAGTTAACCATATTTACTAATGGATCCTATTTCTTTTTTTTTTTAGTTGTAGTTGGACACAATATCTTTATTTTATTCATTTATTTTTATGTGGTGCTGAGGATCAAACCCAGTGCCTCACACGTGCTAGACGAGTGCTCTACTGCTGAGCCCCAGCCCCAAAAGTTACCAATTATAATAGGCTAATATGGGGGAAAAAAGTTAAGATATAAAGTTGTCATTCCCCAAAATAAAAGTCTGAATACCTCATTTCTTCATAATGAAGGCTTACTTAGGATTTAGCACTCTATCAACGTCATGGATTAATAGTCATGGGTTGATAGTCATGGGTTGAGCCACTGAGTTTTTGAGACTCAAGACATAAAATAATAATTGAAAATAACCAATGCGGTAAGGCCCATCTTCAGGCAATTGAAATTTAATTCTATCAGGGAACTCTGGAATCATTGTGGAGTACTTACTGAGTTATTTATATACCAATTTTTATTTGTTCTTGTTTGCGGGTTGATCCCAGGTATGTAGGTGAGGGTAGAATTAATTTCCTGGTTAGTAAAGCAAGATTTAATTGGAAAAGCTTCAGAAAAGAAATGCGGGTACTTTGTCAGCGGAGGCTGGAATGTATCAGAGGCTAAGGCAAGGGGATGGGCAGGTTGGACACTATTGTGTCATCCTACTTTGTCACTTCTGACTCTGTCTCCTTGTTTCTTCTCTACAACTGTGGACTCCCCTTTGCTATTTTTTTTAGAGGCAAAAGTTGTGTTTTACTTCTTATTCTCATCATTACTGTGTTACTGCTACCTACATCCCTGCACTTTGTGTCTGCTGCATCAGGCTGGGGAATTTTAGAGTCAGACACTTAGGTTGCCCTGTCACTCAGTCCTGAATTTAGCAGAAGCCTAACAAAGCCAATTTCCCTTTGGCTCAAGGTGAGGGTAGTATCTGAATGACCCTGCTTGTTGAAGAGACATGGAAAACTATTTTTAAATTAAATTAATGTATTCTGTAGCCAGTATGGAAAGCAATATGGGGATTCCTTAGAAAACTGGGAATGGAACCACCTTTTGACCCAGCTATCCCACTCCTTGGTCTATACCCAAAGGTCTTAAAAACAGCATACTGCAGGGACACAGCCACATCAATGTTTATTGCAGCACAATTCACAATAGCTAAACTGTGGAACCAACCTAGATGAATGGATACAGAAAATGTGGTGTATATACACATTGGAATATTATTCAGCAATAAAAGAGAATAAAATCATGTCATTTGAAGGTAAATGGATGGAGTTGGAGAATATAATGCTAAGTTAAATTAGCCAATTCCAAAAAACCACATGCCAAATGTTTTCTCTGATATAAGGAGGCTGATTCATAGTGGGGTTGGGAGTGAGTGTATGGGAAGATTAGATGAACACTAGAAAGGGCAAAAGGGTAAAAAAGATGGTGGAATGAGATGGAGATCATTACCCTAAGTATATGTATGAAGACACGAATGGTGTGAATATACTATGTATACAATCAGAGATATGAAAAATTGTGTCTATATGTGTGACGTGAATTGTAATACATTCTGCTTTCATATATAACAAATTAGAATAAAAAAATTTTAAAAATTATTATATTCTGGACGTACTGAGTTGACAAGAGGTGAGAATGATAGGGAACTTATTCCAAATACCATTCCTACCTCTAAAGTTTTAAACCTTCTGTCTCCTTCTCTTAACAAACACGCTGAACTGTATCCTATGAAGAAATAATAGGAGTATTTTTCTTTTGATTCTGGTTAGGTCTGCTTGACCCTCATGTTTCTTCTCTATTCTTTTGAAGTGTCAGCAAATGTGGCTTCCATAAACTGATGGTTCTTTCTCTCCTCTATAGACTCAGTGGTTTGTCCCCATTTCTAGGGGAAACAGATGCAGAAACCATGAATTTTATTGTGAACTGTAGCTGGGATTTCGATGCTGACACCTTTGAAGGGCTGTCAGAGGAGGCCAAGGACTTTGTTTCCCGGCTACTTGTCAAAGAGAAGAGGTACCCTTTACTGCTTGTCATGGACCATTCTGATGATTACCCTAATCTGGGTGCTGTTCTGGCTTGTTGAGTCCTTTCTTTCTTTAGGATTTCTTAGTCTGTATTTCTTCAGAACAATAAAGGGAACAGAGGAAGGGACAAAAGAAATCAATTTTAAAACAACTAGAAGCATAAGCTCTAGGAGAGTTTTATAAAAATGCATTATTTACAAATGGGTCACATTTTCAAGTTATAACTAAAAAAAAAGTCAAGAAAAAAAATCATCATTCTCCAGAATAAAGGTCTGAATATCTAATTTCTTAGTGATGGAAACCTACGCTGACTTCTTCAGCTCTTATTAAAGTCATGGGTTGAACCATTGTGTTTTTTGATACTCAGACAAAATAGTAACTGAAAATAACCAAAAGTATTAGTGACCCAGGAGTAAGGCTCAAGAATCTGGTCTCTAAGGCAGCTTATTGTTCTGTGATCTTCAGTTTTTTTCCTGATGGTGAAAGGTTATGTGAGAATAAAAATAATTCTAATTCAAAAGAATCACTTGACATTATCCTCTGGAAGGAAAAATAAACTTCCTTTAAGTGTCAGGTTCTTTCACCTATTAAGAGCAATTTGAGGTACAGATGGCCTTCTAATGCTCTGTTTCCTAGCCCTCTCTGGGTGGTGGAAATTAATCACTTCTGTAGAGGTCAGGGAACATTCTGATGGCAACTTACTGGCAATTTTAAGGAGCAAAATTTTAGATAACAAGGAGTTCCCTTTTTGGTATATGGCACGAATCTGTCTGAATCATTAATTTGTTCCACTGACTCAGGCTTCCATCCAATGGAAGTTTTGGACAACTAAAAAGGGTAACCTCAACTAAAAGTTTTGACTCCTATTTGATTTCACAGCTGCAGAATGAGTGCCACACAATGCCTGAAACATGAATGGTTGAATAATTTGCCCGCCAAAGCCTCAAAATCCAAAGTTCGTCTCAAATCCCAACTATTGCTGCAGAAATACATGGCCCAGAGAAAATGGAAGGTATTTTTTCTTTCAGTAAAGGCAACATTTATCTTCTGTACTTTGTAAGAGTTTTAGCTAAGTTTTTACTTACATTTTGATTTTGAATAATTTAGGGGAAAAAATCTATTCATATCAAAAGCCATTACTTGATTAAAATATACCACACACTAACTGGGTGCAGTGGTGCATGCCTGGAGTCCCAAGGATTTGGGAGGCAAGGCAAGAGGATCACAAGTTTGAGGCCAGCCTTGGCAACTTGGTAAGACCTCAGCAACTTAGGACTGGGGATATAGCTCAGTGGTAAAGCACTGAGGATTGATCCTCGGCACCAAAACAAGACAAAACTACACACCAAAACTAACTGGAATAAATGTGACTTTTAGTTTGTAGTTATATGGACACTTGAAATGGCAGAATGAAGTTGAGCATAGGTTCTCAGTGGTAATAGTAGTGAAGCTCCTGAACTAACTGGTTGTAGCTTGAGGCCTACTTTTTTCAAGCTACTGAAATGGGGGTTGAGAAAGTCCTATTTAAATTTTAAAAACTTTATAATTTGTTTATAACAGAACTCATTCATGCCATAGACATAGAATATATCTTAAAAACAAGTAGCTTTCTAACATTTTGGTACGGACTCAGATCCTTGCAAAAAAACTAAAGCAGGGCTCATTAGTAGGATGGTTGCTTAGTATGTGCAAAGCCCTAGTTTGATCCCCAGCACAAATATAATAAAACAAAATAAATCCCAAATCTTTATCTAGGGATCCAGCACATGTAGACACAGATGAAGCAAAATATTATTTCATTTACTGTAACAGTGTGACACATGCTTATATTTTTGGTTGTCATTTGGTTTCATAAGGAAAAAAACTGTTCACAATCCATGAACTTTTTTTTTTAATGTTTTTTAGCTGTAGACAGACACAATACCTTCATCTTATTTATTTATTCTTATGTGGTGCTGAGGATCAAACCCAGTGCCTCACACATGCTAGGCAAATGCTCTACCAACTGAGCTACAATCCCAGCCCCACAACCCGTGAATTTGATTACACAATCTACTGGTGAGTTGTGATTCAGTTTGAAAAACACTGCTCTAGGGTGCTCCCCTTTTCATGTGAAAAGGGCAGAAAGACATCTCACTTCATACTTACTTGAAACATGCCATTTAAATATAACTATTTGACTATAATTATTCTAGAAATTTGTTCTGAACAAACCCAAGTAGTAGATTTGTTTAAGTCATTATATCTTCTTAAAGCCATTGGTCTAAAAATATGCTTTCTCTTTTTATTTTTTTAACTTCTTCCCTCAAGAAACATTTCTACGTGGTGGCTGCTGCGAACAGGTTAAGGAAATTTCCAACTTGTCCCTAATCTTCAACTCTGCTGCTCCAGTGGGCCCAGAAATTATTGAGGCCAGTGGTGATGTGAAGAGATGACTCAAGATTTTAAGTAATCTGACCTTCTACTATTATTGATTCCTCTTATTTTGTAAAAAAAAAGTTCTGGCTATTGCCTTATGGACAAAAGTGGCTAAAAAGAAAATATCTTAGGAGCTTTGTTTCTGCCTTGTAAGATCACTAGGTTTGAAATGCTGTGTTTACTTTTCAAGTATTCCTCCTTTTGACAATAAGAGTAGGCATGCTTAGGTAGGTAGGAAAGGTCCTACTTTGCATAGAATCAAATTAAATTCTAAACTTAATGTGATTAAAGAACTCAGTAGACACAAAGATATATTATTATTATCTCTTCAAAGAATGCCAAAACAAGAATTCCTAGAAGTTTGATCTATCTTGAACTTCCTGCTCTAGTGTCAAACTATGTGGGCTTAAGACAGTAATCCTCAAATTTGTTTTAATTTATGCTCTCTTTGAGAATCATTTGCAATCTTGAAATATATCAACTGTTACAGCTAAATCTGATAATTTGGAATGTGTTTTTTAAGCTCTACATACCTTCATTCTTTTCTAATTTTGTCCCGTCCTGACTCCCTTTTCTTGGGTATGAATCTCTGGTTTTGTAAGCCTGGAAGCTGATCTACAAAATATAGTATAATGATGTTCAGCTGAGAGAAACACAGGAATGTTACATTATGAAGCAATAAAGGAAAACTGCTCTCTTACTGCTGTAGTAAGGAAATACTACTTTCAGTGTTGTCATTCTTTAAACAGACAATTCATGTGAAAAGGGCAGAAAGACATTTCACTTCATACTTACTTTAAACAGACAAAAAATGTAGGGGCATTTTTAAACACTATTGTAAGCATTTATGAAATCATCCATTCACTGAAATAACACTATTCTCAATGTAGCAAGCAATATATTTACTAACTTCTAACTGTGTATATTTTAACAATTTCCCAACTTATAGCGATTAAAAGGAACACTTTATTATTTGAAACATTCTTTTTAATTTCTTTGGTTTTGATTCTTGTGCTATTCCCAATACCTTCTCAAGTTATCAATACCTTCAAGTTTAGTTGGTGTAGTGATTTTTCATTTTTAATCAGACATGCAGCAGTTTCATAGCCTTTCCAGGATTCTCCCTGCCCAGAATAAAGAATTTTCTTGGTATAGAGAAGGAAGCAAAAGATGGAGAGGTTATCCTGATGCTGCAGTTCTCAAGTTGTACCTTTCCTCTGGGAAGCTAACCCTCTTAGGGAAGGTCAGATTTTCAGTGTCAGCACCTCTAGGCCTGCTCCAACTTGGCCAATTAATAAGTAAACATCAGAAACTATCTGAGACAATACTAGCAATTTGGTAAAATGTTTTATTTTTTAAGTATCAGTTTTTTTCTGGAAAAAGTTTTCTGAGGGCAGCCTATAAGAAGGAATTAGAATATTTTGTAGTTTCCCTTTGTATAACAGTTCTTATCTCTAGGGCATATGATCCTTGGGAAATAATATGAATCCACACAAGTATAAGAGGTAATATGACATTTAGCCCCCAATTTGAAACTCAAAGGAGCTTTTATGAGGGCTGTGGTTGTGGCTCAGCTGTGGTGCACTTGTCCATGCATGAGGGACTGGGTTCGATCCTCAGCACCACGTAAAATAAAATATTGTGTCTACCTATAACTAAAAAATAAATATTAAAAAAGGAGCTTTTATGAAGCTTGAATTTATGGATATTTTTAGTTCTCTACTTGCTGGTGTGTACTTACCTCAAAATATTTTAGATTAGAACAGTGCTAGTATCAACTATTTCTAATGGGACTTTAATCATTTGATAAATAGTCACTGGAAATTCTTGGGCAGAGAAACTAAAAGGTATCAGGGTCTACCTTATTCATTTATAAGGCTGGTGAAAAGTTTGTAAGGGTGTGGGAAAAATGTCATTTCTCCACCTTTACCCACACTTTATGTAGCAATTCTATTTTTGGAAATTTATCTCTTAGTACTTGAACAAATATGCAGACGTTTATACAATTTTTTTTTTTTACTATAGCACTGTTGCTAATGACTCAATGAAAGTTTGAGTTTAGTTAAATAAATTTTGCCATAATCATATAGAATAATTCGCAGCTATTAAAGATAGATCTAGATCTACTAAAAGTCATCTTCTCATTTAAAAAATTATAGAACATGGGATGGGGGTGTGGCTCAGTGGTAGAGTACTCGCCTAACATGTGTGAGGCCCTGGGTTCAATCCTCAGCACCATGTACAAATAAATAAAATAAAGGTATTGATTCCACCTACAGTTAAAAAAAATTATATATATATATACATATATGTATATGTAATTTTTATTAAATTATAGAACATATGTATGGCATCAACCCATTTGAAGAGACATATGCTTATATGTGCATTAAAAATTCAAGGATATGCAAAAAACTTCACAATATGGTCCAAAAAGCGGATGAGTGGGAAGGGGTATTCTACTTTTTACTTTATAACTTTCTGAATCATTTGAATTTTTCCTTTTTTAAGCAATGAACATGTATGTATTGCTTTTACAACTAAAAATTAGCAACCTAATATTAAGTATGGACTTTGTTTGGACTTTTATTTGAATACAAGTAAAAAGATAATTCAGAGTCATTGAGGGAATTTAATTGTAAGTTTCACATTTGATAGAGCTGAGCCTCCAAAAGTTTTTTATACAAAAACAGTACTGAAAGAGATGGATTTACTAATTAGTAATCTTCCATTATTGGGGTGTAATCTTCCATCACTGGGGTGTGAATGTATTGGAAAATTGTAAAAAGGACTCTTGCCCTAAAAGGGCATTTGGACCAAGACTGCTTTCAGCAATTCCCCACTCCCCCTGCTACATTCTAAATAATCAAAATAATTACTAATACCTGCCTTTAAAGAAAATTTATTCTCATACATAAATAAGGCTCAGAAATTTCAGATTTACCAGAATCTCATCTTAATAGTGTAATTTCAAAGTAAATGTGCTAATAAACTCAAAGTGAATGAAATATCTAATAGTAAGAGTCAAAACTATAAAACTCTTAGAAGAAAATGGGAAAAACTTCATAACATTGGATTTGGCAATGATTTCTTTGGAACATGAGCAAAATGCACAGGCAACAAAAGTAAAAATAGACCAAGTAGATTATATCAAAATTAAAAACTGCATGAGAGAGATAACAGAGTGAAAAGACAATCTAAGGAACAAGATAAAACATTTTCCAATTTCCCCAATATATAAAGGTTAGTATCTATAATATATAACGAACTACAACCCAACAACAAAAACTAAACAACCCTACTGAAAAAAGGGCAAAGGACTTGAATAGACATTTCTACAAAGAAAATATGAAGAGTTACTAAACACATGAAAACATGCTTCACATAATCATTAGGAAATGCAAATTAAAATCACAATGAGATAACACCTCACATCTACTAAGAAGGAAACTATGAAAAAAACCTAAAACCAAAACCAACACAGGAAAATAAAACAAAAATAATCGGCATTGGTGAGCATGTAGGGACTATTGATGGGAACTAATGATGGAAATGTAAAATGGACAATATGATGGCTCCTCAAAAATTTAAAAATAGAATAACCATGTTTCAATAACACCACTTCTGGGTACATAGCCAGAAGAACTGAAACCAGTATTGCCAAGAAGTATTTACAAATCCATGTTCACAGAAGCATTAGTCATAACCACCAAGAGGAAGCAACACATGCATCTCATTGATTCATGAATAGATGGGGAAAAAGTAAATGGACTAACTATTCAACCTTGAAAAGGAAGGATATTCTGACATGCTACAATATGGATGAATCTTAAAGACATTATGCTAAGTAAAATAAATCAATCTCAAAGAAATACCTTATATGAAGTACCTAATCAAATTCAGAGACAAAAAGAATGTGTCTGAGGACTGGGAGAGGGAAGAATGGGGAATTGTTTAATTGGCAATTTTGTAAGATGAAAAAAATTCTGGAGATTGGTTGCAAAATAATGGACTCCTGCCCTAAAAGGGCATTTGGATCAAGACACCCTGCTGAACAGTACACTTAAAAAAGGGAGGACTGGGGATATAGCTCAGTAGTAAAGCGTTTGCCTAGCATGTGACCCTGTGAATACATTGCTTTTGGTTCAAAGCTAGAAATCTAAATATTGGCACCAAATAAAAACAAATTATGTAAGCTTTTAAAATAAATAGGGATGATCCCCTTATCCATATTAAAATTAATAACAAAAGCTACTACTTAGTGGATACCTCCTATATGTCATGTATTTTATAAGCATTAAACAGGCTTATTAAAGTGTTGAACTCTTAGGAGAGAAGTGGCAGAGACAGAATTCATTTATTTTAATTTTTTGTACCATGAATTGAACTAAGGATCGCTTAACCACTGAGCCACATCTTCACCTTCTTTTGAGACAGGGTCTCACTAGGTTGCTTATAGCCTTGCTAAGTTGTTGAGGATAGCTACAAACCTGCAATCTTCCTGACTAAATCACTTAAATTTTCATTTTAAAAATTATGGAACTTATGTTCCCCCAAGCTGTTGGATTACTGGCATGTACCATCACTCCTGGCCAGAATTTAAATCCAAGTGTGTGTGGTTCTAAAGCTCATGTTCATTTCCCAATACCATGGGGTTTGCCAAATATGCCTTTGTTGGGGTAATATGACTATGGTATTCCTTTAGCTTTAGTTTGATAAATTTCTAGAATTAAAAAAGGTGGGAGAGAAAAAAATACACCCTGAGTCATTCCACTTGTAGCAGACAAAAAGCAAATATTATTTCTGAGGCCAATGTGAATAGATTTTAAAACTGAATGCAATTATATCATCATGGAAATTCATACCATCATGGAAATATTGAATTAGATCATATATTTTTAATTTTATTTAAAATCATGTGTGGCATGATGCCAAGCAACTTCCTAACCTCTATAATAGACCTTTCCATAATTTAAAATTAAGTACTGTTTATGAAGGTTACATTTTGAAGTGTGTAGATTTTAACCCGTTAAGTCCCAAGTTTTTAATTCTATGAGCATAATATTCAAATATTATTTCAAAGTTATTATAAGTGGTACATGTTTTTCAGTTTAAGTTTTTATAGGTATTCCATACCTGGGACAATAGGACAAGATGGTTTAAGGAAAATAAACCTTGGTATATTGCTTGATTATGATTGGCCGAGTGGGACTTGAGCTTGGGTGTTGGTGAGCAATAAGGCTCAGCGAACAGGAACTTGTTCTCTCCCCCTGCAATAATAGACAGATTCTGGCCTAACAAAGATTCTTCCAAACTGGTGACAACTGCAATCTGGGTGTATATAAAAATAACATTTATTAATATAGGCTGTACAATATATTTAGTCAAACCAAAAAACATACACAACAACTTAAGTAGAATTGGTAAGATTCCATTCAACCTGAAATTTATATTCCAGATAGAAATGGAAACTGCCTTTAGCTTAAAACACAATCGAAAAGCAAAGTGGTTTCTATTACATCTTGTGGGAGAGTGGAGATCTGTGGAGAGCTGAGGCACTGTAGTTGATTTAATATTGTCAAGGCAGGGGCCAGCCCATAGCCCAGAACAGAAATTAGCCCTAGTGCTGGCTTCTTTACTATGAAGGCAATAGGGTATTGTTATAAAAGTTCAAACAAAATCCCAAAGTCCTAAAATCTTCCTGGAAGTGGCAGCGTACCATAGGTTTGCAGCACATACCAGTCTGGAAACTGCAATCACTTTGCTGTAGTCTTTTGAGCTTTGGTAGCATTTTCTAAAATTTTCCTTTTCCATTCTTCATAGTCCTGTGTCAGATCTTCATCTTTCTGAGATGTATGTGGGATCTCTACTACTTTTTCTATTTCTGTGAGAAAAAAGGTTAAAAACTAGCTTTAAAATTCCTATGTTTACAAATGAAATAGAAAAAAAAAAAGCAAATTTGTTTAAAGTATTTATTTCAATTAATCAAGGTAATAAAATACAGAAATGGCATATCGTTTTTTTTCTACATCTACTCCAAGCATCCCAAGACATCTAATAGTAAACATTTATCACTGTTTGTGTTTAATAGGCACTGAACTGAGCACTTTAAACAGTATCTCATTTAACCCTTATCACAATCCTATGAAGTGAGTTCTAATATTAATCACATTTTAAGGATTAGGAAATTGAGATTCACAGAAATTATGTGACTTTTTAAAATATCACCCAGCTTGTAGGTAGTGTTAAAACAAATATGAGGTAGCTGGATTTTCTATGTAAGCAAACTAGAACTTACCTTTTTAAAGCTAAGAAGATTTAAAAAAAAAAAAAAAGCCTCAAAAACCAGCTAGGGACATCCCATCTGATCATGCTCAAAGAGAAAAATGCTTAGCCATAGCCAATTAGGTGATTTCTCTACTTCCAGGTTCAGTCTATAAAATCTTGCTGTTCATACTGCTTTTTGCAACCCTCTGAACTTCTTTCAGATTTGACTGTTGTCCAATTCATGAGGTTCTTTGTTCAAAAAACTGCTAAATTTGTCAAAAGCTCTTAAGAGTAGGAAAGCAGGATTTGAACCTGGGCAGTTTGGCCTCAGACACATTCTTAATTACATAATGTTTCTGTTACTTCCACTGATTGCTTGGAAAACTGGTCGTGTCAAATGATTAATGGTCAGGATTTATACTCTTTGTCAGGGGAGCTGCTACAGCAGCACAGGACTGCAGTCTGCCTTAATCACACTGCATTAATTTTCAATGTCATTATGGTGTTAGTAAGCCTTACCCTTCACTGGTGGTTCAACCACTGTTTTCTTTTTCTTCTGGGGTGGACTAGATAAATATCCAGGTTCTCTATCTATAAGGAAAGAAAAAAGTGTTATTGAGGTTACTTTTCCTCCTATTTTCAATTTTAGTATTTGGATGAATTTTGAATCACAAATAAAAATTAGATACTTCGATGAAAAAAAAAAATAGCAGGATAAGGTGAAGGCAAGTGATCTTGCCCTTTTCTTTTCTTGCTGTTCCTCTTATGAGATTTGAGAACCACTTGTATCCTAGCTTATGTATATGGCAGATGGTATTTTACATTAGAGCATGTTAAAAAAGAATCAATTTTCCAGGTATAAATTCATGGAATCATAGGTTTTTTTTGGTTTTACTTGAAAAATACAAAAATCAGTTTCTCACTAAAGACATTATCTGGCCCATATTAAGTACAGAATTTAGAAAATAGCCAGTTTACAAGTTTAAAAATATCTTACTTTTACCAGCAAGTCCACATTTTCAAATGATAGATTCTTGAATTACAGAATACTCACTGTCAATTTGCTGCCCAATCTTCTCTAATTGTTTACATAGTCGATCAAATATGGCTCTTTTTACTCCAGATGTGGCTGCCATTTTGTTTTTATCCACTTTTAACTTTAGAATCCTATGAAAGAATTTCATAAATGCTTACGTCAGGACCAGCACAGCTTTCTTCTTTGACCAACCAGATTATAATTTTTTAAACATTAATTTTTAGTTGTAGGTGGACACAATACCTTTATTTAAAAACAAATTTTTTAGTTGTCTATAGACCTTATTTATTTATTTATTTATTTATCTATCTATCTATCTATCTTTATTTTATTATGTGGTGCTGAGGATCGAGCCCAGTACCTCACAGGTAGGCGAGCACTCTATCACTTGAACCAGAACCTCAGGTCCCCTTTTTAATTTATTTTTATGTGGTGCTGAGGATAGAACCCAGTGCCTTACACATGCTAGGCAAGCACTTTACCACCAAGCCACAACCCCAGCCCCTTTTATTTTATTTTTATGTGGTGCTGAGGATTGAACCCAGTGCTTCACACATGCTAGGCAAGTCACAATCCCAGCCCTAGATTATAAATTTATTTCTTTTTGCCTATGCTTTATTTAAAAAACCAACTGTTCACAGTTTTTTTTTTCCTTTATTCTAAACATGTCATTAGCTAGCACCATGTAAATTTGTCTTTTTAAGTTCTTTGTTTATTAGATGAATAGAATTAAAATGCACATGGAATTTAGTGACAATTAGGTAACAACTTGATATATACATAGATAACCCATAATTTTAAGATGAATTAAAGAACAGTTAACATTAAAAAAAAAATGGCTAGAAAATCACACATGACCACTGTTTTGACAGATTTCATCACTTATAAAAAGCAGACTCTGAAATTAGAATACCCATCTTACATATATGGCTGCCACTTGGCAAATGAGCTTCTGGAAGCCCTAGTTCCAAGTTGTCAGCTACATTATGGGATAACTGAGAATGTGATCACTTAGCCAATATTCCTAGTGTTATTTATAGGGGAAAATATGTTCTGAGTTAAAATCAACCAAAGTTAGAAGTATTCTTTGTGAATAAAAAACCCACTTATAAATTTGAAAGCTTTTCTGAATGTTAATAGGAACACTTACTTGCATGCTGTAAGTAGTGCAGCAGTGGTGAAAAGTGGCCTGGATAAGTCAAGATCTACTTGTTGTGTCTGGGGAAGACTGGACTCGTAGCTGGAGGAATAGTGTATTTGTAGAATTGTTAGGAAATAGTATTTCAAAAGGAACTGAAAATGCAAATCAGAACTTACAATGTATTTTAAATACATGAGATAAACACTCTTTGATTTAGCATCTTAAGTTCTTTTTTTTAAGACTGAAAGTTAACCCGAATAGATCACTGTATGATTCTGCTTTATCTACAGCATACACTTTCAGTTAAGGTTCCTTATGCCCATACCTTTGAAGTATCTTTGAAGCCATGTTCACTGCTTCTGTACAGCTAAATTGTACAGCTAGGTCTCTTATTCCAACATTTGAATTCAGGCCCAGTAAACACTCAAAAGATTTAAGACAGCTCTGATACGTCTTCTTGTTCAAACCAGAAAGTTTAATTAAATAAGGCTTTGAAAGGAAAAACACAAATAATAAATTCTATGATTTAAACAATTCATAAGTGGCATAAACTTTTCAAAATTAATTCTGTGGCAAATCACTCTAATTAAAGGTTTAACTTCATTTAATAGAAAATCAGTAATCCTGTCAAGCAGACTACTGCTGCTCTAAAGGATTACCTAGTCCTAGTCAGGAAGCTCTTAAAATAGAAAGGTAGTTATGCATATGCACAAATAATTAAAAACAACAACAACAACATGGGAACAAATATAAGGTTACTTGTTTTTCAACAAAGGTGCCCAGTGTACAAATGATTGGGAAAAAGAACGAGGAAAGTGGTGAAAAGGATATGGGGAGGGTGCATGTAATAGAGGAAGGAAAGGGAGAAGAGAAGGAAACCAGGAGAGAAAAAAACAGGACAATCAATATCTATGGGAAACAACTCTGAGAGAATTAAGGAGAGCTTCATAAAGAATATAACAGCAGGGGCTGGGATTGTGGCTTAGAGCTAGATCACTCGCCTAGCACACTGGAATCCCTGGGTTCGATCCTCAGCACCACATAAAATAAAATAAAATAAAGATATATGTCCACCTACAAGTAAAAAATAAATATAAAGAATATAACAGCAAGGTGGGGTCATGTAAGACAAATAGGAGCTTGCCAGAAGAGCACTCCAGGAAATAAAGGTGCATTTTCAAAGCCAAAAGTCATTAAAGTGAACAAATCTATTAAGTGAATAGTGTAGCTTGAGGTCAAGGCTCAAGAGAGTCTAACCCCAAGCTACAAACAGCTTTGTTTTTAACATTTACACCATTTAATGATTGTATCCACCATGATACACATATTGCTAATGGTGTTACATACAGTAATATTGTTTAATCATAATAATAACACCCAGTAAAATGAACATTTTTATCTCTACTTTATGGTTGAAGAGACTGGTGGCTCACAGAGCTAGTGAATGGTGTGGAGATTTGATCTTAACATTGTTGACTCTTCCGACTCCAAAGCTGCTTCTCTTAATCACTGTGACAGTGGGAGATGGGGATCAGAGATTCAAAATATGTGCTTTAGGAGATCAAGCTAACAACCCCATGGGAGATCTCGGCTTCTATGAATAAAGAGGTGGTTAGGGAAATAAAGAGTAAAGAGAACATTGCAAAAAATATTTTTTGCCAACTTGACAAAATGAGTCTAAAGTTTTTATCTAGAATAACATATAATAATAACCAAAATTCTAAAACATGAAAAGTTTTTAACTGGGTCTAATCTAACAAAAAGTGAAATATAACAGCTAAGCTCTAGTATTGTGCTAGGTTATTCAGACATTTGATGGGACCTACTTACCCTGTCCAAGGGGCATTTCATCCAGGAAGCAGCAAGGTCCAGGCACATGACTGCATTACTGGTTTCTGTGATATGTGCAGATAAACCAATGCACTTCACCTGGGACAGTCTCAAGTACTCCTCTGCTTTTCTATAAGGACAATATGTGAATCAAAAATCTTTTTCAGGCCAGGAGTAGTGGCACACACCTACCTGTAATCATAGTGATTAAGAAGGCTGAGGCAGGTGGAGGGCAAGTTCAAAGCCAGCTTCAGCAACTTAGCAAGGACCTAAGCAACTTGAGAGCCTGTCTCAAAAAGGGCTGGGGATGTGGTTTAGTGGTAAAGCACTCCTGGGTTCAATCCTGGTACCAAAACCAAAACCAAACAAACAAACAAACAAAAAAAAAAACAAAAAAAGGAGCTGGGGTTGTAGCTCATTGGTACAAAGCTTGTCTAGCATGTGTGAGGTGCTGGGACTGATCTTCAGCACCACATAAAAATAAATAAAATACTGGTATTAAAGAAAAAACCCCTATTTTCAGAAGTTTGTCTGACACTTATGTAAACAATGAATACACCTGGATGGACTTCATCTTGGGCCTAACTACTATGCAAGTTTATTTGGGGTTGAGAATGAAGTTCACATCCTGTGCTGAGGGGAAGTTTTAAAGGACAGTAGCAAAACTTTGATTCCCAACATCATTTTCCAAGTGCTTTCAGGTAAAAGTCTATTTCTAAAAAACAAAAAACAAAAACACAAATTAAAAAAAACCCTTTCTTTCCTCCATCCATTACCGCAACAAACATGAACAATCAGAGGTGGGCAGGTTGGATCAGGGTCCCTCCTTTATTTCCCCTTCCTTTAAATTCGTGGCTTTCAAACTTTACAGGACAATCACCATGGGGCTTATGACAACAGATTCTGGGTCCCATTGGCCAGTTTGGTCAGTAGGTGTGGAGTGTGGTTCAAGAATTTGTATTTCTAAGGACTGCCAAAATGATAATGCTGCTGCGGGTCCAGGGACCACACTTAAAAAGAACTGCTGTTCTAAACGATTACCTAGTCCTATAAAATTTTATTTTATTTTTAGTTGTTGGTAGACCTTTTTTTTTTTAATATGGGGTGCTGAGAATCGAACCCAGTGCGTCACACATGCCAGGAAAGTGCGCTACCGGAGAGCGACAGCCACAGTCCCTAAATTAAATTTTTTTAAGGAGTGCTCTTTTGCTTCTCCCTCCCGGGCTTAACCTTTGGCTGCAAAGGTGTTTTTGAACCTCGGACCTGCAATGTTCCTTCTGATCTCTGGGATTTTGCAACAGTTGCTTGCTTGAGCTGCTCTTGCCACATCTTCCCAGGTCTGGACCTCACATCAATTGCGTCTTTGAGCAAAGGGCACCTCCTCCAGGACCTTTCCTGAATTATTATTAAGGTGGCTGATAGGCCACGCCTTGCCCTACAATCGCTCCGGCACACTATCCTGCAGTGTTCTACATGGTTCTTGCCACTGGCAGACAGTGATCCCCAGAGGGTCCCTACCGTGTTTGGGTCACTAAGTTAAATAAACCCTCAATAAAATTCTACAGAATGACTCGAATTTCTCCCTGACACGTTCCTTTTCCTACCCCCATGCATCCCACAAAGCTGGATGTTCCTAAGGACGTCTACAACTGACCCTTTTTATCATTTCATACAAGTCCATGGTCGTGAACCTTTTCTTGAAGAAGGGCCTAAGTCTCATCCACCCTCTGCGCTCCATTCCCACACCGCCCGTCCTGTAAAAGGGCGCGGGCCAAACCTAATGGCTCAGGATCGTGAGACAGTGACCTCTCCCGAGGCGAGAGCGGCCGGACTCACCTCAGCACTTCAGGTTTAGTGAGGCCCAGGCGCGGGGCTAAGCGCCCAACCAACCCCGACTCCATGGCGCTAGCTTGCACTACACGCGCGAACAGCTGTGGACGACGAAACCCGCGCGCAGACGCAGCGCCAGCCAGTGAGAGTCAGGACCCCACCCCCGGCACATCTGGATTGGTTGGAACAAGTTGAGAACGCCCCACAAACCAATCCTGGTCCTTCTTCTGCGCAGGTGCAACACGAGTGTGCTGATCGAGGCGGATACAGTGAATGTGGGCAGGCGGCTCCCCCTCCTTCTACTCCTTCCTTCCTAACAAACTCGTTGAACCCGCCTTTCCTTCCTGCTGTCTCCTGCCTGCCGCTAAGCAACACCCGCTGCTCTGCACCGCACCGCCCACTCTCACACACTATGGAGAGACTGGCTGGCGCCCAAGTCCATCAGTCTAGCGTGAATTGGCAAGGGCCAATAAACACGCGAGACTTGGGTTCCCAGAAGCAGGCCAATCGAGGAACCTCCTGCAGGGCCCGAAGGCGGGGCTAAAGAGGGCGGAGTTTGGAGGGGCTGCAGCGTCACCTGATCGCGGGAGGCTCTGCTTGGGGTAGGTGCTGCTTGCTGCAGGCTCGGGGGAGTCGCCATGGTGAGTGCTGAGGGGGAGGCAGACCCAGGGTAGACCCTTTTTGCGGCCTCTGCTTTCTCCTGCCGATCGGGAGCCCTGCGGGCGGAATAGGGGCCCAGCAGTTCGACGGGGGCTAAGACCAGCCCGGCTTGGCCTGCCGGATAGGGGACAGGCCGAGGAAGGCCGCAAGCAGTCTGCTATGGACCGGGGTGGGCGGTGGCCCCTGGCTGCGGCCGTTGCTCTGAGAGTAGGCGACTTCTCTGAGGGGGTGTCTCGACCTGTAGATTTTGTGTGTCTGTGAATACCTGCAGCTGCTGCTTAAGTGGAATCGGCCACCTCCCCTCCAAGAGGGGAGCCCGAGTCCCAGGTCTAAGCTACCAACCGGGTTGGGGGCTTGGAGAACGCCAGAGTCTATGGTGTAGCGCAGGGACCCGCCCAGATGGTGCATTTCCACCTTTGTGCTTAGCTGTGTTCAGCCATCCCCACACCCTTTTCTCTGCAAAAAATAGCTTTCAGAGGGGCCGCGTTGGTTTCCCGGCCTTTCTTGGCCTCATAGACCCCTTGCGCTGCCGTGTTTTGTCAGTGAATTCTAGGGACCTGTTTCCTAGAAGGACTCATGTTATCTTCCACTAATCCTGGCAATCAGAAAGGAGACTGCTTTTTCATTTGTTCATTTGAACACCCTGGCTCGGTTGTCTTCCCTTTGATGAAATCCAAGTATTTTTCTTGATGGAAGTAGTCATTCTCTTTAGGCCTCTCTGTGATGGTAGCAAGTCGTGGTGTGGCATTGGCCGATAAACTTGAACTTCCTCAAAATATGGATCCTGGGTGTAGTTTCCACAAAGGCAAGTTGTCACTTGCATTTTATTAGCGTTTGGTGTGTGTATTGTATAAACGATTCTTTTGGATGTTGATGTTTTGTAGTCAGTTTTAATTATCTCATTATTCACTCTTTGTAGACAGGTTTCTGTAAACCTGGACACAGATTGCACTTTTAAATGTTTTAATAAGAGAAAGCAAGATTATATTTTTGACACATACTTCTTTCATATAATGTATTGACTTACAAAGTGATTTTTATTTCTCAGAATTTCTACAACTGGGAAATGATACATAATTAATGTAAACATTTAACTTTAGGATGTCTGTTTCTTGATGTTTGTGGATTGATATTTTAGTGCTTTGTAATGAAAAGCACTTAATTGAGTATCTTCTTATTGTGCACGTCATTTCTGTCCTGGGCTAATCAGGTTTGAGCAGTTAGCCAGACACAGTCCAGCCCTCATAAATTAAATTGAAAAAAGGAAGCCTAGGTATCGGTCTTCTCACAGTCACTGTGTGTGACCTGGGGAAGTACTCAGGCTTTGAGCAAGTACTTTGGGTAAATATCAGTAATTTTTGCATCTGAAAATAAATATTGGTTTCTTTGTCCCTTCCCAGACCTTAAAAATCTAGACTCCAGTTCAATTAATTGAACATCTTGTGTGCTTTCAGTGTCATGGATTGTGCTAGATATTGAATATAAACTAGTGGAGGAGACATGCTTATGGAACTTACTATAATGCAGTGGGAGGGTTGCTTCACAACACTGTCAACTCCAAGCTTTAAGGAGAGTTTTACCCAGAGATCTTGGGAAAGACTACAGGAAGTAGTAACATGTGAATATCTGAGGAGGATGGGCAGAAATTCTCCACGCCATGAAGAAAGGATATTGCAAATAGGTGAAGCCAGGAGAATAGAATGTTCTAGATGTACTCCATCCTAGGATTCTTGGTAAATTAGCATCAGTTTGGCATTAAAATTATGGGCCTTTTGTTTGTGGGTCTTTTTGGGGGGGTGGCAGAGCTGGTAGTTGAGCCAGCCCCCACTCCTTTTCTGGCATGCTCTGCAAGCACTTTACAACAAAGCTACATTCCCAGCTCAAATTATGTTTTAAAGTGCTCATCACCTCATTATCCTTAATTCTTATTGAAAATTGTTAATTTGTGTTATATCATCATTTTTAAAATAGCACTTTTATTAACATGATAGTATTCTGTGTCTTTTTAGGATTAGTTTTCATTTTGCAATTGATTTGCTTTGTATTGTCAGCTTATATCTCAGCCTATGAGTGGGGAAATTAACAAGTAGGTTGCCACAAGGTGTGGAGGTAATTGCTTGCATCTAAATAATAGTTGTATCACACTTCAAGTGATTACTACGTGCTATGCACATTTTATTTGTGTCATTTACTTCTCAAAATATTGATGAAAATCTTTATTTTTATGAAAGAGTAAATTAAAAGTATATTGTTTTAAATGGAGAGTGGTTTTGTAGACTTGAGAGAGCTGTTTGTGGGGTCTAAAGGCAAAATGGGCCTTATCACAAATGTTAATTGGATTTTGAATCTGTAATGTATCCATTTTTCTCTGATCCATGAGCTGTAAAATGCACAGATATTTGCAAATGGAAAACCACTTTCATGAATGAGGAGACATTGGTTGGTTCCTTGGCTTGTGTTTAATCATAGGATGTTTGTGATATAACTGTCCCTGCTCTGTGTGACACTTCCTAGGAAGGGCATTAAGAATAGCCCTTAGAATAGCCATTTGTAGCACAACTACTCTGATAAAATGTGAAAATATATTTCTTTATTATAGCTTTTTAAAAATTTGTAGCCTACTTTGTAACAACTTGTCTTTGGTAATGTTTTACATTTTTATTTACTTTTCTATTAACTTTAAGCTTAGCTGATACAAAATAGAAGAATTTTGCTAAAATAGTATTCATTTGTTTATAGGTCCACAGAATTTAGTCATTCTACTCAAATTTTATGGAACTACTTTATATGCTTTATAATAAAAATTATTATGCACAGTAGCCAAAAGATGGAAGTAACTCACATTTTTATAGATGGATAAGTGAATAAATAAATATGGTATGTATATACAGTGGAATAGGCAACCTAGAAAAGGAGGAAAATTCTGATACATAGTACAAATAGATGAACCTTGAATACATCATGCTAAGTGAAATAAACCAGACAAAAAAGAAAATGTTGTATGATTCCACTTATATGGGGTATCTAGAGTACTTAAAACACAAAATACAATTGCCTGGCAGGGAACCCGGCGTGTGGTATGGTGCTGTGTGGTGTGGTAATGGTGTTGCTGTTGCTCTTGCTGTTTAATAGATACAGTTTCCATTTGAAAAGATGAAGAAGTTCTGGAGAAAGAAAGTGGTACTGTACAACATTGTAAATGTATTTAATGCCACAAAACTGTACACTTAAAAGTGATTACAGTGGTAAATTTAAATACATCTTACCTCAATAAAAACAAGTGTTATAAAAATATCCTGATGTATTGCTACTTATTTCTAAATTGACCATTTGACCTTAATGTAGTCTATTGATTCTAATTATTAAATCTGTTCTACTTAGAGTTTATATACCCAAAAAAATCCTCAATAGGTTGGTTTACTAAAGTTCTTAGAGGACTAGCCCATGAATAATAGTAAATTTCTTTAGGTTAGAATCCTTAAATGCTGGTGTTCTCCTTAACTCTGAAACCAAATTTTATGCTTATAGTTCTGCTGTACAAATTAACGATCTTTTAAAGTGAAGGTTAAAAGGATTTTAACTTTTTCTTTGAAATTTATTTATGCATCTGAGGAGGACTGCAGAGGAATTCAGTTTCACTGGAGTTTGTCATAATTAAAGGAGATACAGGGCTTTGCTGCTTATTTAATTTTTTTTTCCTCTTCCCAAAATTAAACCACCAAGAGAAATTTCAATTTTTTTTTAAAAAAATGATTATAGTTCAGAAATGGGTTTTATATGGCTCATGTTTCACTAATCTCAAAATGAAGTGTTTTTTCGATAGTCTTGGATATGAAACAGACCAGATTTTACTTTCACGTTTATGCAAATGTCTTTGCTTTCTATTTTTTAAAACTTATTATGTAAGAGACTTTTTGTTTTTTAAAATTGGGGAGAAATTGACAAAATTAACCATATTAAAATGAATAGTTCAGTGGTATTTTCAGAAATTTGAAATACTGTATAGCTACCACCACTACTTCATTCTAAAACATTTCATCATTTCAAAAATGGAACTCATAAAATACTGATTTCTGGGCTGGGGCTATAGTTCAGTGGCAGAGTGCTTGCTTAGCATGCATGAGACACTGGGTTCGATCCTCAGCACCACATTTAAAAAACAAAAATGAAAACACACAACAAAGTAAATGCATTCTGTCCACCTACAACTAAAAAAAAAAAAATAGTTATTTCCCCCACCCTCCCTGCTGATAACCACCTTTCTGTTTCTATGGATAATTTATCTGTTCAGGATATTTCATATAAATGGACTCAGACAATATGTGACTCTTAGTGTATGTCTTCTTTATTTAGTGTAATGTTTTCTAGCAAATGAATTTCCTACAGTTGGAATGTATTAACCTATTTTTTTTTTTTTATACTAGGGATTGAACCCAGGGGCACTTTACCACTGAGCTATATCCCCAGCCTTATTTATTTGTTTGTTTGTTTTTTATTTTGAGACTGGTTCTCACTAAGTTGGATAGGGCCTTGCTAATTTGCCATGAGGCTGGCCTCAAACTTGTGATCCTCCTGCCTCAGCGTACCGAGTTGCTGGGATTACAGGCATGTGCCACTGTGCCAGGCAACTTCATTCCTTTTTATGATTAAATAATAATTTCATTGTATATATTGTAAACTACAATTTGTTTATCCATTCACCTGTTGATTACTTAGTAATTTATATTAAATACACAATCTAAATGTTTTAAAACCAGCTTATTCAT